TGTCCCCGCTGTCGCCGGGCCCGGCGGAGCGCAGCCGGCCCTACGCTGTGCTGCAGCACCAGAACCTGGGTGAGGAGCGGGGGGCAGCGGGTACAGCCTCGCCACGACCCGGCCGGGGGCTCGGGAGTTGGTCAGGGAGTGTTTTATTAATGTTCTTTCTCTTCCCGCCGCAGTGCTGCTGGGCAGCATCCTCAGCGCTCTCCTGCTCACCATCATCCTCATGGCCATCTGTGTCTACCGGCCCGTCCGGCGGCGGTAGCGGAGCGGGATCCGCCGGGGCACCGAGAGAATGCTGCATCCTACCTGGTTCTCCCCCCTGGCATCCACCATCCCAGCATCGCTTCAGTCCTGCCGGTTCTCCCGTCTGGTACCCGGTACCACCCCGGTACCACCCCAGTACCATCCCGGTTCCATCCCGGTTCCATCCCGGCGCTGCTCCGGACCCAGCAGGTTCTCCCGTCCGGTCCCCACCGTCCTGCCGCCCCTCCCGTCAGCTGCTGGGGATGCCCTGAGGATGCGAGTGTGGCTTTTCACCCATCTCTGCCCGTGCTCTATCACATGGCTCCATCGTGATGTGGCTTCCAGCAGTGGTCAGGCCGGGTGCTGGAAACCATCCCCTCCCTGAGCAAACACTCCCGGAGCTCCCGGGGGTGTGTCCGCAGCGAACCCATCTGGCTCGGAGCGGGTCTGGAGCAACGCGCCTGCCTCCCAAATCCAGCGTTTTGGCGAAGCTGATCCCACACCGTGTGCTCGACAGCATCCCCGGGGCCTGGGGACACAGGGCGAGATTGGGGACACTGCCCGAGGAGCAGCTCCACCTGCTCGCTCACACCACGTCTACGTTTTGCTTTCTGATTAATTCAGGTTCTTGTTTGAACGCTGAGTCCTGGGGGTGGGATGGGGCTTGGAGCAACCTGGGGGAGTGGAGGGTGTCCCTGTCAGGGCAGGGAGTAGAACAGGATGAGCTTTAAGGTCCCATTCAAAAATATTCCAAAGGTAAGAGCTCAGTGACCCACTCAACAGTGGGTGGGGGGGTCTGGTCTGTTCTTGCTTCTGAGCAGAAATACTGATATATGCCCTGATCCTGGTGTAGTTTTCCGGGGCCAGGCTTCTCATTCCCAATTTTATTTGCTTTAACTCTAATATTTGCTTTGGGGCTAAAAAGCCCCAAATAGCCTCCCATCAAAGCAGGCCTGCTGAACCTGGTGTGCAGGTGAGGGATTCCAGCACGTGCTGGTCACTGTCCTCCTGGAAACAGGAGCCTCCAAAGGTCTGCAAGCCAGGCAGAGGCTCTGGAAGAGTTTGAGCTCCAGCCAGACCCATTTTACACAGTTTCAGTAACAAGCGTTTACACTGAATCCCATTTCCATACAAATGCTGCTATTTTGTTTTGCACTGCTACAAGTAGTAACTGGATTTTACTAATTATTAGATATTTAACACAGGGGTGGTTTTGCTTAGTAATTTATTTAGAGTTTTAAAATGCAACTTCCAGAAAGATTGGTGATGTGTTCTCAAGCCCTTGCGCTGCATCCGAGGTGTTTTCCTTTCTGTTTGAAGGACACCAAGCGCTGGAATTGAACAGGGATTTTCTTTCTGTCTTGTGAAATGACAGTGAGCCTGGCCTCGAACAGATGGAGTTGTTAATCCAAGAGTGAGGCAGCAGGGCAGCACTGTTCTGTTGCTTTCTGCTCCTCCTTTTGCTGATTCCTGTGTTCCTGATTTTTCTCGGTCCTCCATCGCTGTGAAGTCTGGCCTGCAGCCTGTGCTGCTCCTGGGGGTGGATGGTGAAGCTCCCAGCCCCAGCTCTGCATTCTCAGGAGCAGAATTGCTGTTTGCTCTCATTCCTCACTCCCTGCTATGCCTCTTTGTACAAATAAAACGCTCAGTAAACAATCCAGGCTCTTATTTATTCATGGTTGTGCTGTTTGTTATTAACGGGGCTGGAGCTCCACAAAGGATTGAGGCTGTCCCGATTCCCTCTGGTCCCCTCGTGGTTCCCACCTTGTTTTTGGTGGGATGGCAGTGCTGGGGGAATGTTTCCATGGATGTTTGAGCCCTTTAATAGCACAACAGAAGCGCATCCTACAACGGTTGTGCAGCTTCCAGCAGCTCA